GGCAAGTGGCAAATAAGGTGCGTTCTCCTCATTTACAAGTGATTGAGTTGACGACCTATGTAAATCTTGAAAATTTTTAACTTTTATCATTTATTTTACTATAAAAATAAAAATTTTAAAAGTAGTCTATAAAATTCTTCGAACGAATGTGGCATTTATTATTTTTCTTAAATCGAACATAAATGGAATCATCTAAGAACTTACAATTCAAATTTTTTTTTTAAAGGAAGTAAAAAAATTAGGGTCGATGATCAAAATGTTGAAAAAGTAAAACTAGATACCCATTTTGATTATCGACTAGTCCTTTTTGAGCAAGTTGTATGATCTCTATTATAATCGATAATTTATGTCTAAACTGCAACGCAAATTACACAACGAAAATTTGAAATGATACCAAAAATGTACCTAATCAACCGAGAAAAGAGCCTGAAAGTGGTCACCAAAAATGATTCAATATCGGCCCTTCAGAATTGGGACGAAGATGGGATTAATGTCTCATCTACCTTTTTTTGTCTAGTTGAAATGTAATGGACACTATCGTCATTTTGTTTCAGTCTTCATCCAGTCTAATACTTCGAAAAAAATAGGCGAAGTCATATAGCGATCCAAACAACAATTCTAAATCTTTCATTTCACATAAATATGAAACTCAAATTTAGGGACTAATGTTACATACTAAAATAATTATTATTCTTCTAAGCTCCATGTCAACCGCAAATGGTCCCATTGCATGCCAACATGTTATAAAATGAATATTAGTACCTCGACCTCTGAAACGTGTTGACTAAAAAATATGCCCGACAATCACTTAGCAAAAGAACAATTGGAAGCCTTGTTCAAACGTCGGCATTAAAGGTCTGTCTCGACTTCATATTTAGATGACATTATGATGGTGCGAACCCTGGCACCATCAAAATAGACATCGGTGTAGGAAAATTATGCGTATACATAACTAACTGCATGACAATGGTCGCCAAAGCACAAACCTCGATGAGAATAATGAAAATTAAACTCAATCATAACTTTCAACATAATGATGAGACAATGTCAACTCATAAAAATAATCAAAAGACCCCTAAAATTTGTTCGTCAACTTGAAAATATAAGATCTATTCTTCCACGCTCCAAAAAGCTACCTCCTATCAAATCAAAATTAAGGGGCGACAGCCCTCCGGGGCACAGCTCAACTGGTGGATCAATCAACATTTGTCTTGCTTTCAGCGGCAGGCTGGAGGTTCGAATCCTGGTGGGAACCTGCGACCAGATTTATTTGGTATGGAGCAATCACTTTGAAGGAGGATCTCTTGTGGGTAGAAGTGTACAGGCGGTGAGGGAACCTGTGATCCAGTTGAGCCATAACCCGCGATTTACCCCTTCCAAGGTTCTAGGGGCAAGGATCTTGGGGGTCCAAGATTTAGTCTAGTGTAAGTTATGATACCTGGATATAAAAAAAAAAAAAAAAATAATGAAGGGGTGACACTTTTGAAGATTTTAGTACTCTCTAATTTAAGTGTAATTTTCGGCCAAATAACGTCGGAAACTCAGCCTCTATCTATTCTACTATCAAGAATTTTTACCCAAAATATATCGAAAACTCCCAGACAAAAAAAAAGGGGCCAAAATCCTTCCTAAATATCGACAGAAAACTCAACAATTTGCTTTTAAAGACTAAAAACTGTTTTTTAAGGTCAACAAAACCCAAAATCCCCCCAAAAGGCGAAAAACCGTGCAAATTTCGAAAAAAAATCTACCATTGGCTTCAAAAAAAATAAAAAAATCTGCTATTCAAGGTCAACAATATTGTTTTCACCCCAAAAGGAATTGCCTTGGTAGCCAATCTTTTCACAAATGTTCTCTTACCACATTAGTTTTTGTGGGGATATTTAGGAATTGACTAGACTCTTTCCTTATCAAATAGACTTCGACCGTCCTTCAGTCGTCGAAACTTGTTGTAACAAAGATATCAAACGCCCTCTCTCAACGGAACCATTGACGTTCACCATCTTCATTCGAACTTCGCTGAGGTCTGCCAAAGGGCAAAGTCTAATCGAGGTGGTTTTTATGTGAGGACCATGCAGGTTATATTAGGGGGTGTTTGAGTCACATTATTTTGGTAATAATGCATTCTTGAATAGTGTATTGATGGAAAATGTGTAGTTAAAAAATACGAAAATATTTTTTATTTTGGTGTAATATTATTTTATTGAAAAATGTATGATTGAAATGATATCAAATCATTATTTAAGAATATATTTTTTTAAAATAATGTGACTCAAATATAATCCTTAGTCTTCTAGCTTCATCGCCGTCAATCGAAACCTGTGGAAAGCAAGCTATTCACAGGTTGACATTAGCCTAAGTGGCCCACACGAATTACACTGTTACAGGTATAACAATAATGTTTCACATGATTACTCGTTAACTGATTTCAACAGCCTTTTTAAAAGTAAAATAGTCTCTATTTTAAATAGTAAACCTCTAAAATTATAATCTAACAAACTCTTCAAATTAACATTTCATAAGAGAGAATGAGTTTGGAGTTTGAACTCTATTTTATATTTTTAACTATATATTCTTCAATTAAATAATATTATACGTAAACCAAAATTTTTTTCCTTACTACCTCATTTTTATAAAGATAGGCTTGATTTCCTTTTTATTCCGATCCAAAATATGTCACTTTCCTTGTTGAATGTATAGATTTTTTTAGTTTTTAATAATCCATTATTTAATATATCTCGTTACTAACAAATATAAACTTATCGTATTTAAATTATTATTTAATGTAGGGGTATGTTAGGAAAATTGTAAGAAAAATTTATATTTCCTCTTATATTAATTACATTTTTGTAATCTTTGTAAAAATGGAAACATGCTTATTTTCAGGGAATGAAAGTAGTATTTTTTAACCTCACATTCTTCAAAAAGTAATTATTCCAAAATACGTGGCTAAATGCACTTTCAATATTTCAATTTTCAATGCTCCACTTATTGACCCAACTAAATTGTATATATAAAGAATATGGTGGGAAATAATAGAATAATTTAGAGGAAAGTTGGTAAAAATAAAAGACTGAAAATAATAATAATAAATGCATATTGAGATGTGAGGGTAGTAAAATTAAGTGTTAAAAATAGAGATGTTGTTGGAGTATTAAAAACTTTTTACTCTCTAGATTTATAGATTTTTTAAAATTGTAAAATATACTCTTTAAAATATATGTTGGCAAGATGTAATTAGATAAAAAAATTTAGCTTTATTTTAAATATTCAAATAATATATTATTGTGCGATGTTATGTCAAAAATTATATCAACTATAATGTCTATGTTGTGATGGCAAAAATCCCTGCGCCCACGCCGTCCTGCCAAGGGGTTTAACTCCCCACCCCAAATCAGTCCTGTGAAGAGAGAGAATAAAAAATAAACTAAAAAAATAAAAAAATAAACAGGACAAGCCGCCGTCTGCCCGTCCTATTGCCATCACTATGTCTGTGTCCATGTCTATGTATCATGATTGGTTTAAAAATAGAGAGATGTTCTAAACATTCACAGAGAGTGATGATTTCATTTATTTTTTCAACTCCGACTTTTTATTGTTGTTGATGCAATACAATATTTCCATGTGCCAGACAGACACCATATTGAGCACCATCAACGGTTCACCTTAATTGGATGGTGGGTACCACACTCCACCCTCTTACGTCTTTTACACACACCAAGATCTCTTCCACGTGGTATCTTCTCATTGGCCCAACCAAAAGATGATTCTCGGTGCATAAACATCTCCTTGCCCCAAGGAGGGTAAAACCAAGCGCCACGTGTAATCAGGAAAACCCAATGCTTACGTGGCGTTGCAGTTTTTTCCTTTTTCCTATGATTCTATGTGCAGAGAGAAATTCGTTTCATGCGTCAGCAGGGGCCCACTTCCAGGCCCGTGTGTTCCATATCGAGGTCAAATGACGTCATCGATTACCATTTAATAGAGAGCATCACTCAATATGATTGGCCCATTCCACTAGAGGTACGTTTGGTGGCTGGAATTAATGGGTTGAAAGAATATCTACTACAATTTATATTCTTTTATTAATAAAAATAAATCTATACTCTAAACTCTATGCTCATCGATCTTATAATGTCAGTTCGGTATTAAATTTTAGTTTAAATTAAAGTCAATAATCAATTTTCACCATATATTTTTCGAATTCACAACTTTTCAACCTTACATTTCATCGACTTTTATCAAAATTTGATTTTAATCCTCACCAAATAAGGGCATAGTACAATAACAGTCTAAGTAACACTGTACCCCATCAATTCGTTGCTTAGTAAATTCATGGGACAAAAAATCAGTAGGATGACATTATTCTTGTTTTATCTTGCAAAAGGGTAGATCGAATTGGAGTAACTACCCTCTTCGTATTGCATTCTAAAGATTCAATGAAATGAAGGATTATTTTTAGCCATGTTTAGTTTAGATAAAAATCAAATTTTTAGTAAATTTTGATAAAATTTGATGGAATGTGTGGTGGTAAAGTTGTGGGTCCTATAAAATGCATGATTATAACTTAAATTTTAATTTACTTTTGTAATTGAACCAAACATGGGCTTAATGTATAAGTTTTATTGAGCCGATGTTTTATTAGCCCTTGTTTGAGTTTCATTTTTTCGAAAAAAATACATTCTTGACTAGTATTTGGTCACAATATTCTAACCACACATTCTTTAATAAAATAATATTATACATAAATCTAAATCTTTTCTTATTTTTTAACTATACATCTCGCATCAATACATTATTTAAAAATGTATTTTTAAAACAAAAATGGGGTCAAACAAGCCCTTAATAACATGACCCTACTATATTGATTAACATGTACGAATTTATTTTACATCTTATTTTCTTGCCTGTGATGTAAGTGTAACCCAACCAACCCTACGCACCCCACTCCACGCCCCCACTCCACGCCTATTGGAATTTATATATGAACCCCATCATCCCCGTCAGTTCCAGGAAAAATTTAGACCTTATTGAAATAAATTAATAATCCCTTTTTCCACTAGTGGTGAATGGCACTGGCCATAGACGTCGCCGAGTCACCTGAGATGCGCATCCAACGGCTGATATCTGAGAATCCTGTGATCATCTTCAGCCGCTCGTCTTGCTGCATGTGCCACGCAATGAAAAAGCTGCTCTTCACAGTCGGCGTCCATCCCACTGTCATCGAACTGGACGAGGACGAAATCACCGCTGTTAATAACGGCGGCGCGGCGCTTCCTACCTTGTACATAGGCGGCACAAGCGTCGGTGGGCTGGAAAATCTTGTGGCACTTCATTTGAGCGGCCATCTTGAGCCTAAACTTAAAGAAGTTGGCGCTCTTAGTCTTTCAGATACGGCAATTAAAATGATTAATGTTAATTAATTGATATTAATTTGTGATTATTATCTTAATTTTGTTTGGAAAAAGTAATAACCTTGTAAAATTAGTAATTTCTTAGCGTGGTAATTCTTATTATTAGGATATGATTAAGCTTATAAATTGTGTATTCTATGTGATTTTATCAAGAAATATTAATTGCAATCAGTATCATAGTTTTGCCATACGTAATATTGTTTCTTTCTTTTTTGCTTCAATTTCAGTAAGCATAATATTTTTTATTTTCCTTTGGTAAGTTAGATTGAAGCAGACAATCGTAAGACTCTCCTTTATTTATTTATTTATTTAAATCGTATTCAAACTAACATACTAAATATATTTTAACGGATTGTATTGGATAATATTAAGAAAGAAAAAAGTTAAAAATCTCGTTTAATATATTGTTTAATTCTTCGCAGCAATAACCGTGGACTCGAAGGATTGAAGGGTTCTAATTTTTGTGTATTTTGAAGCATATTAAAAGGTTTAATTTAATCCGGCCATTATTTTGTTGGTTCATGAATATTCCAGCAAATAGAGGAAGAAGAATCTCGAGCTTGTTTATAATTGCTTGAAATCAAAATTAATTAAGACAAATTTAGGATTGAAATTCCTTTGCTGCCATTTTTTATGCTCGAGTACAAACTTTGGACTATGAAAGAAGAATCTCTAGGGTAAAGCTAGTCTCAAATATGATACCCGCAGAATTATGGTTTCAAATTCTAATGATATGCTCGGTCGATAAGATTGGACAAAATTAAAGAATAAATCATACATAGTTTGATATATGTAACGTGTCTTAATGACAAGTTTTATACATTCTTAGATCGTAATACACGAATGGAGAATCTCCTTAGCTAAAGGGCGAACTCCAATGAGCCTATATGAATAAAGAAAACCATATTTAAAATGCTTGAATTGCTAATTGTTTTTAAGTTAATCTCCCCTCTTTTTATTTCGTAAAGTCTGTCTCAACGAAGTTAGATTTCATCGTTCCTCCTTTCAAAATTAACAATGTTAAAAGTTGGTAAAATTTGAAGACAGAAGAAATGCCAAATTAGAAAAGGAAAATGGGAGAAAATGATCATTTTTTAAAGAGTAATGTTATTTGCAGTCGACATACACATAGCAAGTAGCTAGCTATTTGATGCGTAACTTAATAAAAAATACTATCACATTAATGTATCAAATAACTATTTACCATATGTATGTAACATAGGACAATTATTGCAGTGAGCGACTGCGAAATAGCATTATTCTTTTTTAAATTATTGGAACAAAAGATTCCATAAGCTGCTACTTTAATTATGAATGAAAAAAAGCTATAAATGGAAAAAAAAAATGAAAAAATTGAATGACCAAATTGTTATCCACCCTAGTTTATGATTCCATGTCTCCATGACAAATCATGTATGCAAACATCTAGGTCACTTTATTTGTTTTGATTTGATTGAGAATAATTTGCAGTAGATTGTTTTTGTTGAACATGACAAAGATATCGTGCAAAAGATTAGTGATGAAAATAACGTAATCTTACATTTTTTTTTTTTTAGATTCCAAAATTAGTGAGTTTCAGATGGAAATGACTTTATCTGCTTTATTAGGAATTATGTTTATAGATGGTGTCTGATGGAAGGTAGAGAATTTAGAACGACGTCTAGAAAAATAAAAATTAATTCAAAGTCGACTATGATTGGTGGCTGAAAATTTATTCCAATCAGGCCACTAGATAAACAAGTTGATTTTTTAGACGTTTAAAAATTAATTAATTTACTTTTTATTTGAAATATAATTAATTATCTGAAAATAGTTAAAAAGGAACCAACACACAGTAAATCTTAAAAGCTATTCAAGTTCGAGTTTGACTTTGACTTTTTCAAGAACTAGACAAAGCTCAAACCATGGAGCTCATTGATAAAACTATTTAGTCACAACTTGGGTTCATTTCAAAATATGATATCGAAAATCTAGTACTAGTTGTAATTTCATGATTAACTAATGAAGTTTTTGTATGCCTCTCATCTTTTAAAGCTCTTTTTTTTTTTTAATTTATGTTCAATTATATATTTTATGGACCTACAATTTTTTTTTTAAATTATACAATTTTATCTACTTTGTTAAAATTTACTAAGAATATGATTTTTAGCCCCTATATCATTTAGATAAAATCAGATTTTTGGTAAATTTTGATAAAAGATTATTGAAATGTGTGGTTGAAAAGTCGTGGATATCATGAAACGTGTATTTAAAATTAATTGTTGATTTTGATTTAAATTCTAGTCAATATTTTTAGTTGAATCAAACAAAAACTTAGCTAAACCAAATACGGCTTAGGAGAATCTCCAATAATTGTGTAAAATTAGATATAATTTAATATCTCCAAAATCACTTTTGCTTTACAGTAGATTTAAATTCAAAATTTACTGCAATAGAAAGATTTAAATTCACTTTTTGATTCTTGTGGTTGTGAAATATGATGTGATGTACATTTTCTGTCGAAAGTGTAATTTGCATTTCCTTTATATCTTTCCATTTTTTGGGTCAATTCAAATAATTAAATTTCAATTTTACATAACTATTGAAGATGCCCTAAGTATCTTGTATATGAAAAAAAGTATTTTAATTAAGAATCAAGTTACATCACATCAATGTGTCTTTTCCACTTAGGGTTTTGGAATGGACATGTTCTCACGAAAACAATGGCTAATCAAACTGTTGACACCAAGAATCCAAAATCGTGACTGTTAGGCCCCGTTTGGTAGGGATTTTTTATCTCAAAAAATTGATTTTTTGATCGTTATTTTACTATTCAAGCCGTAATTTTTGACTTCTTCTCTCATTGTGGACCCCACTTTTCTTCTAACGGTCAAAAAATCAATTCTCAAAATCCCTACTAAACGGGTCCTTAGATCAAATGGAAGCACACAGGAAAACCATTTATAGCCAAGAATGCACTCAATTATATTGGACCCCATATGGAATCTTTCACCCCCATGGCCACCCCAACCAAACCCACTTTTTAAGAGAATCTACAACTCAATCTTTCAAAAAGAACCCAAATAAGGTTGCAGTCAACATTTAAATCATTCAAACTGAGTACTCTATGCATTTGTTTAGAGAATGAGAACCCCATAACTAATGTAGACATGTAGCCCACCAAAAAGCTTTACTTATAGTTATATTCGTCTCTTAAGATATTTGGTCTTGTCAAGTTCAATAAAGAGAGAAATATTAGAAAAATATAGATAAAATATTTATTTTTTGTCTTGTCCACTTTAGAACGTCAAATATATATTCAAAATATTAAACGGAAATTTATGATATACGTATCCGCTGTCTAGTCTTTGATTTATCACGTTAAACAACATACACAATTAAATAAAATATGAATATTTGTTGTTCTTTAATTGATTTATTATACCAAATTAATCTAAAGTTTCAAAAGCCTCTTTAGATGCTTTACCTTCGTAGCCTTTCCTTTCTCACAAGTGAGGTCATCTTCACTTTGGCTTCTTTTTGTGGCTTCCACTTATTATAGATGTTTCTTTTCTAATCATTACCTAATTGATTTGTGACGATGCGACCCAATATACTTTATTTTATAGAAAACAGATTTAAAATATTTATAGTATCATATGTCACAAGTAATTTATAGCATCGACCCTATTTTCTTCAAATTCATAGTTAATTACATATTTTTGGGATCATTAATTTTTATTACTTTTGAACATCATCTACTTTTATTGAAATATACTAAAAATCTGATTTTTAACTAAACAAAACGAAGGCATAACGTTATATGTGTTATATTTAAGACGTAAATTTTAGTTTTGTATTAGGACAATACTCAATCGACATTTTGAAAGATTTTAATTTATTGAATCCAAGTAGATAATGTAGCGAAGACGACAAACAATCATCTGAAAATCAAAAGTTTATAAATAAAATCAGGGGTTCATTGTTATGGTACAAATAAATAAATAAATAGTAGTACATCACCGAGTTTAGGAAAAAATAGAGAAAAATTTGAACGTCAATTGGGTTGGCACCCACAATTTCTGGATTAACTGAACAATTTCAGCCTAAGTCCTTGAAGTTTAGGATTTTTCCATTTTGGTTTCTCAACTTTTAAATTTGTTTGCTTTTGGTTCCTGAGCCAAATTTTCTCCATTTTTTTTTTCCCGATTTCCTTTTTGCATCTTTTTTTGGGAAATACATCTTAATAGTCTAAATAAAAGGAAAATTTTCCAAATTAGTCTAAGAAATAAAAACATTTGAAAACTAGTCTCTAAACAATCAATTTTCCAAAAATACCCTTAACAGAGAAATTGCAACCAAAGCCACTACAATGGCTAAAAACCTTCAAATAAGTCCTCAAAGAAATATAGATCAAAATTCTTTAATAAATTTAGATCCAAATATTATACAAAATTTTATTGACCTAAAAACCTCTACAGAAAATGAATTAATCTATTTGGAAGAAGATCTGAAAGACTTCTTTATAGAATATTTAGACCCAAAATTAAAAAATAAAAATGATTCCATAGATAATGAAGCAATCAAAATGGAAAAAGATATATATAAATTAATTCTTAATTTAAGAAGGAGAATTGAAAAATTAAACATAATTATTCAAGAAAAAATATTGGTAAAAAATAGTGAATTTTATAAATTCTATTGTGATATTTTAAATACTTATGAAGAATTTAATTGGCTTAAAAATATTAACCCCTCCGCTGCACACTCCGACGAAATGGTATCAGAGCCATTTTACGAACCAAAAATTATGATGAATATAGTAGATGAAGAAAATATAATTGAAGAATTTTTGAAAAAAGTTGAAAAACATAAAAAACCTAGTTATCCTTATTTACCTAAAAATACCACAAATGAAAATTTTGGGGATATACATAAAAGATTAGAGAATCTAGAACATAATCTACAAATAGGAAATGCCCTATTAGATAAAAACCTTAGAGGAAAAGATAGGATTATCATTAATCCACCCCAAGATTTTAGGATAACACAAAAAGAAAATAATAAAGGAAAAAAGCATGAAGAAAATCAATACATGATTACAGATGTAGAAGAAATAGAACAAAAATTCTTAGAATCTACAGGAGAAGAGTATGAAGAATATAAAAAACAGTTAGAAGAATTAACTGAAA